GAGCCGCGCGCCGGCCGCCGGCCGCACGCGGACACGGGGACGGGAGCCCCGGGTATGGCGATGGCCGGCAGCGGGGGCCGGCAGCGGGCGCGGGGCCGTCGCGGTGAGCGGCTCTCTGCCTTCCAGACATGTCCCTGGAAGAGGTCCGGGCCTTCGAGACTCAGATGCAAGTGGCCACAAACCAAAAGCTGGGGAGCCAGCACCCCTAATCCCCGCTGCGGGGGCAGCCCTGCCGCGCGCTGCCTGCAGGGGATGGAGACCCCAGGCCCCGCCACGCTGCCTGCAGGCAGGTGCAGGCAGGGGGGCTTGTGCACGGTGCACGCCGAGCCCCCCCTGCACCCCACGGCGGAGGGTCTCCCCCCTGCCCGGCTGCCCTGCCCGCGTGTCCCCTGCCTGTGCTGCCTGAGCTGTCTGTCCGTCCCTTCCCTGCTGCTGGTGCCGGAGCGGGGGGCTGGCTGCACTGCCCAGCGTCCCCTTCCCTGCCCGTCTCCCTGTCCCCAGCCCCTGTCCCCTTCCCGGCACCCAGCTCGGGGTGCCCCAGGGTGACGGGGTGCCCCAGGATGACGGGGTGCAGGATGCGGCCATGCTGAGTGGTCCCAAGCCCGGCTGTGCTCGGCAGGGATGACAATGGAGGAGGTGCGGTGCTACGAGCGGGAGACGCAGGAGGCCACCAACGAGCTCATCGGCCTGGTGGCACCCACCATCGCGGTCAGCGAGGTGGGGCAGCCCACGGCCACGCACTCGGCCCCCGCCAGCGCCCCCTCCACCCCCCTCAGCGACGAGGCCCCCGATTTCCTCGCTCCCCCCAAGACTCGCCCACGCAAGAAGTCAGCGCCGGAGACCCTGACGCTGCCCGCACTGCGGGAACGTGCCGGTGCCGAGTGACGCCGACAGTGCCACGCCGTGCCACCTCCCCGGCCGGACCGTGCCAGCCCCACCGCCCACCACGGCCCCTCCGACAGGCACCGACCTCGGGGAGGGACCCGCCGTCGGGGCGCGGGGAGCCCCGGGGGGGTACCGGCCTCCCTGAGCCATCGCGGGTGCCCACGTGGGACATTGCCACCATCACTGTGCCGGACCCGCTGGCTGCGCAGGGAGGGGACGCCAGGCCGGCGCGGGTCCCCGGCAGCGTCGGGCGATGCTGCAGGGGCCGGTTCGCTCAGCACTGCCTGCCCTCGTTGCGGCTGGCCCATGTGCTGCGGCCGGGCTGGGCGCTGGTGCCGGGCTGAGCAGCTGCAGAGCTCGGCGAGCGGAGCCGGAGCAGCATCGGCACAGGCGCACAG